GGAAATGGGGTACTGCAGAGGCCTTGCACCACATAAATTATATAGAGCTATTTGCAGGCAGAAAAGCCCTCTTGGCTTTCTAAACTATGGTCTGCAACCTCCACATTCAGGTCATATCTGACCACACCACAGTGGTTGTATATATAAACAAACAAGGAGGCATGAGTTCCATCCCCTTAGCCCTCCTCGCCATCAAAATCCAGATTTGGTGTACCATACACAACACCACCCTATATGTAGTCCACATTGTGGACATGGACAATGTTCTAATGGACACCCTGAGCCACACCTTTACGATGTGCCACAAATGGGAACTTCATCCCACTATTCTTACATCTCTATGGGACAAATGGCACCTCCCTCCCCCACCCCCAATAGACTTGTTTCCCACATACCACAACACTACCTGCCATTGCTTCTGTTTTAGAGGCATGATTGGCAAAGGGTCGGTTGGCAAAGGATTCCTTGTCACATGGGCTGGGAACTTCTATCTGTTCCTTCTCTTCCCACTCCTCCACAAGGTCTTAGCAAAGATCCACCACAACCTCACAGACTGCATCCTGATAATGCCTTGGTGGTTCCCGCACCTCCTTTACCTTTCAGGCAACACCTTCCTATGCCTCCCTCTCCACCCTGATGTCATCTCACATGACTACAGGACTCTCCTACACCCAGACATACAAACCCTTTGCATCATGGCAAGGAAGATCCACCCATTCATACCACACTGACTGATGTACCTCTGGACATCCTACACATCTTGAATTCCTCTCAAAGACCTGCTACCAGCTGATCGTACAAAGTAAAATAGACTGCCTTCTTCTCATTTGCAACAGAGCAAGGCTTTCAACCTGTAAGCTCCTCAATGTACTGGTACTACAATTCCTCCATTCCCTGTACCAGAAAGTACTTAAACCCTTACCTGTTCAGGTTTATGGTGTATCTATCTCTATGTTCCATACTCTGCTTCAAAACTGATCTATTTTCTCTCACCCCTTGGGTTACTGTTTTCTCAAAAGACCTCCTAACCATGCTTCTCTCATGAAACAACCGGTCTCTGCCTGGAGCCTCTCAGTTGTCCTTCACACACTCACAAGGAAACCTTCTGACCCATTGGCCTCTACCGAGCTCCACCTAGTCTCATGGAAAACAGCATTTCTTATCGCTGTTACCTCAGACGGGCCAGTGGCCTGGCCACCCTTTGTGCTGATTCACCTTACATTCCATGAAGACAAAGCAGTACTGTCCTGACCCCACCTTCTCACCCAAGGTAGTTTCACCTTTCCACAACAATGCAGATATTGTACTTCCTACATTTTTCCAATCTCCTTCCAACCCAATTGGGTTAACTCTCCACCTGCTAGATATCAGCAGGGTGTTGGCATTCTACAAATCTAAAACTCACGCCAAAAGACAGTCACAAAGACTGTTCATTGCCTATGGTGGTGCGCATAAAGGCATTTCCATCTCATGCAAAGGCTATCTAAATGGATTGTACAGGCAATACTCCTGGCATAACCTCCGGTCTCCAATCCCCAGGACCTGTCAGCATTCACTCCACTAGAGCGACTGCTACCTCCATGGCCCTTTATGCAGGTGTCTCCTTGACAGACATATGCAAAGTGGTGACATGGTCAAACCCATCACCACTATTGCCTGGATATTCAGTCCAGAGCCAATTATACCTTCAGCAAGGCTGTCTTTCATCTCTCCTTCATTGAGCAACACACACCCCTCCTAGAGGTAAGCTCACCAGTCACCCTGCACAGAGACCACAAAGGAGAAAGACAAGTTGCCTACCTGTAACTTTTGCTCTTTGAGTGGTTATCTGTGCATTCATTCAGACCCACCTGCCATCCCCACTACTGTCATTTTGACACAGGGTTCAGGTGTCTCTCCTTCACCACATTCCTGGAAAGAACATGTCTGAACTGGGGTCTCGGTGGGAACCCCTATCATCATGCTGGGCATGTCTAGGGGCTGGGCTCTCGCTGAATACTAATTGATCAGCTTTGGATGATTTCCAAATCAGCTCCACGCATGCATGTGATGCCCATATGTGTGAATGCACAGATGACCATTTGAAGAATGAAAGTTACAAGTAGGCAACCTGTCTTTATTACCAACATTCAGTCTTAAGAGTCTCTGCTTTGGCATAACAAGGATATCGAAACCTAAAAGTAACTAAATCCAGAAGAGTTCTGGTGAACAGAAGATATGAATATATAATTTATCTCATCTGGGTACATTATTCTCCAAGGGTCCATCAGGCCAAATCCATCCATATAGGCCTGAACTGCAAGACTCATCATTGCTGGCCTCCTGGGAACCAATGTGTTTGGGAGGAAATTGTGGGTCTCATTAGAATCCCTCACACACAATCATATCATTATCACAATATCAGTGTTTCTGAAATGTTCCTAGAACATGCTGGAGAGGCATTATTCAGCCTATACACATTAATCAAAGCAATTGTTTTATAATTAGCTTTTTCTGACTACAATCAAAAAGTGACCATTAACATTGCTAGTACTTCAAATTCTGTCAAAGTATCTGTTACACAGGCCTCTTCTACTCAGTCTCTTGTGAACTGATGTGTGTCATGAAGTGTGTTTCCTGTAAAAGAGCTACATCAGTGCCACATTCCTTAAGTTTGAGGAACACTTTCTTCTGTTTGTTTGGATTCCTTAGTCCCTTGACATTTTACGAAGTGACTTGAAATGTGGAATAATAGTAAAATTATTATTATTATTGTACACATACATATCTTGTACTTCTACAAAAGGTATCATTTCAGAATAATTCAAAATATGTCATGGATATGGTACATCTCATGTCACCTCTAAAATTCCTTGTACCTATCCATTAAAAAAAAATCCCACAAACTGAAAAAAATGAAACCCATTTAAAACAACCTCCCCCCCCCCTCCAGTCTCTAAAACAATAAAGAAAATAAATTCTTTGGATCCCAGCAAGATGATAGCACAATCTATCAGACTTTGCCCCTGGTCATTCATTAATTGTATCCCTGAATATTATGACCAGCAGTACCATTCATTAATGTTAACTAAAGCAGCAGAAAAAGACAAAGAGAGAGAGAGAACCCAACTCAAAGCATAAGAGCAAAGAAAAAAGTGGCAAAAAGCCTGGCACTTAAAGTATTCAAATTAAACCAAATACTGATTATTGCTGGAAGTTGAGGAGTCAAGTAAAGCTGCAACAGGGTGTTTCTGAATGGAATAGGTGGATCAAGGAAAGGAATAGGAAAGACTCTAAGCTTCTGAAGAAAGACTTCTTCAGTTCAGATAAATATAATTGAAAAACTGGCTTGATAAAGAAGCTTAATTTCACAAGCCATTCTTACAGCCTTGCCAAACTTGTTCAGACATTCCTTTTGTAAAATTTGGTTAAACCATGATTTTAGTGCCATCTAAGCCTCAATGGAACTCCTTCATCCACCTGTCTTTATAGAAAAGGTCTTCTTTAGTTGAGACACACAAAAATAACAGGTCTTGCTGTTACTCTTTGAGTATGACAAGAAATACAATAAGCATACTCAGTATCAAGATGAAAGCTTTCTTGTAATTTCAAAACTTGACACAGGACCAAATTCTCTGCAATTGTCATCATTTCCTGTGGTCGCTGCTCATGCCGATGCAGCACTTGCAAATTAGTTTTCCACGAGGAGGATTCCAAAACTCAAACACTGGTAGAGATTGTTTTGTAGGAAGAAGTCATCGCAGATTCATGTGCAATAACTCTATTGTCAAGGTTTGCAACCCTTACTTCCATCATCTCAAGGCAACCATCAATAAAATCCACAAATCCCTGCAGTAATTTAATTGAGGCTTGGAGCTGTTCCATCTTCTTGGACTGCTGAGACAGCTCCAAAGATACATTTTTCAGCAAAGTGACAAGTTCATTTTCTTCTCCTCCCTCTGTCCCTGTCTTAGTAATCTTAGCAGGTGGCAAATTAGGTAAGGTTGATGGGAGTCCAGTGCCTTTCTTAGGTTTAGAAGCAGCCATAGTCAATCACTCCTTAAATTCCCATAACACACTGGAATATACAAATTCTCCTAGACTGGAAGCAGTTGCAAAAGTAAAGCAATGCTTAGAACTACTAGCAGTCTAATGAAAAATAGAACAAACAAAATGATGATAAGGCAGTAATAAAATAATATTAATAATGTTTTAGAAGTTCAAGGTTACATTACCATCTTAGTCAGAAGTCAGGGATGACTTGTTATAAACTGCGGAAGACACAGAAGTGGCGGCCTTAGCACTTTCTGAAATTCATAACCTACCTCAATTTGGTGATTTGTTGAAGAAATGCATTTTCATCCTGGTACTATATGCATGAATGAAGCATAAGCTGAAAATCTAAATTATTGTTTGTAACATTACCAAAAGTTGTCAAGTTGGAAAGCTAGCTTTTTAGTTCTTTGTTTTCAGGGAAAATCTGGAGTTGTTCACTGAGCTGTATATTGAATGAATTGACCGTGATGATCACTGATCACTTTGGAACACAAAGTCAACAGATCTTAATTGGTCTTAGTAGCTAGTCAAAATTAGTTCTCAACATGACCCTGCATCATTCAGAGGAAAAGCATAGGATCTTCTGAAATTACTCTGAACTGAAGTCCCAGAATGCCTGTGCAAGCCTGTCCTCCTTCACAGGGCAGAAGAGGGATGGGAGCTTGACCCCAGTGTGTCACCACTAAGCTTCAAACATCTAAAAGAGCAGGATGGCAATGTCGGTTATCTTTAAGGTTCAATGCAGTTTCAGGGGGAGCTCCTGCTGTTTTCTAAGCATCTGAGGTCAGTGTGACCTCAGGGAGATTCCTTATACTCTTCCAGGCATGTAAGAAGGGTGGAAGTTTTTCCTGCTACTAAGTTCTCTTTCAGAGCAAAAAGATCCATGTTTATTCATGTTCGTTCAACTTGTTTAATGCATTTGTTTTTCAGTCCTTTAATATTATGTTTTCTTTATTTTCCTGCAGAAGAAACAAAGAACAAAAGAATTATCCAGATTGTTTCACTCATACAACCCATATGATCACAAGGTAAATGCAGAAATATTTTAACCAGTAATAGCACAATACTCATCATGGTGGCTCCTGAGAAACAGTATAAGTGATGACCTGGGCCATTGTTGTTGTTCTTGAATAATGTACTTTTTGGATTCATGCATGGAATTAGATTACCAACCAAGTGAGCATTCACCTTATCCTTTTGGTTCCTTTTGGTTTTGATTGATACATCGTGTTGCTTCATTATGTGGATGCTATTGGGTCTCTATGAGGAGTAGCTATCTGTGTTTCTAATTTTCCTTTTTCCTTGGTACACTTTGATCTGAATTTGGTTAGTAGATCATAACAGGGCCTTATATATCTCTCTCTTTTATCATAATCAAGTGTCTGCCATTTTCCAACCCACTTCAGAAATGGTTCTTTTTCTTTTCATGCTCTTCTGGTAAAGATTTGTATTGATGGTGAAGAAAATTTCTATGGAGAGGCTTCTTCCTCAAAGCCAGCCATGATTATACAGTGGGTTGTTGCAAAATGGCAGGTCCTTAGCCTCACAAGTCAGGCTGATTCTCAACCTACCGAGTGAGAAGCGGTAAAGTATGCCTTGAAAAATTAGCCTGCCATATGTTGGATGTGTCCGCAGCTTTCTGCTTCTTGGAGTGGTCATTTCCGGTTCACCACTGCTCCTTTTCCTTTCTGCAACATAATGTATATGGGCAGTGATCTCGTCCTGAGGGAGAGAGTAAAGACACAACCTAAAATCACAGAACTATTACCATTGTCAAAGGAGAATGGGCTCTTTGAGCTCTCGCTTAATTAGGGCAAGGTGAGGGAATTGTGCAAAGGCAATGCTCTATGTTACCTTGCACTTGTAAGGAAGAAGCTAATTCTATCCCAACTCTTCTTCAAGGGTCATCTTACAGGCATAATGTTGCCTGTCTTTAAGCTTAGGTAAATTGACTGATTTTCGCTTAAAGACTGACAACCAGGATTTCTAAAGGCAGTACTGTGGTGCATGATGCACTGGAGCTGTTTTAGCTAAAGGCAATATGAGATCAGTTAAGATCTAACAAAAAGAGGCAACTGGAAAGCCATAGGCTTTGATACTTTTTCCTTTTCTCAGTTCTCTGGTGGCACATCTTTTCTGGATTATGGTACAAAAACGCTCTATTATCTTTCCATTAGCAATGTTGTTGGAGCTTGGCCATTTTAACTAGTCACTGCTACCTTCTGGTCTATACTCTTTTGGTACTGCATCAAAGAGTCCTGAAATGATTTGGCTTTTGTTGTGGACTATAACTGTACACAGTTATACATTCTTAGGCAGCTTCTTTTGTTCTTTCTTTCGGGCCTCTTGTAAATAACAAAAGGTGCAGAATTCATTCATTCATTCATTCATTCATTCATTCATTCATTTCCTATGCCACCCCACTAGCCATAGGCTTTCTGGGCACCTTACAACAGAATTGAATGGCAAACCAATTTTGAAGATTGTAGAATTGAGTTCTGGAGGAGTGTTGGTTATAGTGTAACGTAGCCAGTTGAAAAGAGCATTGTCTTGCATCCCAAATAATGACTGCACCATTTACAGTCTCATGCCTGAAAAATTCCATTTTCCTTCAAGACCAGCATGAGAAATAATGTATCCGGCTTGTGGATCCCTTCTCTATGTGGTTTACACCAGAAAGGAGTTTCTGATAGGCTGCCATTAGTCAGGATTAAGCTCCTGATTCCCCAGCTGCTTGGGAAATGTCTGAACCCTCTCACCAAGGATGCCACCCTTCATCCCACACATAGGGAGCAGAAAAAGGCAAGGGATTTGGACATTCCTTCCCACAGCCCAGAGGAAGAACTTTTTAAATTCCTTCTAACAAGCAAGCAGTAACTGTTTAACTATATAGTTAAAAAGGGAAAAACCTGAGTGAGAACCCCCTTTTTAAAACAATGCAGAAAAATAGCCAAAAATAAAAAGGAGATTATTTAAGAAGTAGAAGAGTGGGTGGGGGGAGACCAAGGAAACCAACTATCAAACACACACAGAATTCCAAAGAAAGATAATAAAGTTGGTACAAGATCAAATGCCAAGTTTATTGCAGACAGCACTATCTGACAGAGCAGGCAGCAGAGAAAGAGAGAGCGAGAGAGAGTGCATCTGGCTTCTGGCCAGAAAGCTCTAAATGGACTGTGAGGTCTTTTTTCCTGGAGATATCTGCTCAGTAAAAACCAGCCCCTTTCCAGCGACTGATGGTTGGTTGGTGTAATGTCATGATATCCTTCGTTTTCTTATTTATTTATTTATTTATTTAGGGGACTTCTATGCCGCCCCATTCACCGAAGCCTTGGGGTGGCTCACATCCATAAATGAACTTCCATAAAATAATATAAATTAACAGTATAAATTAAGTCGCCCTGGCCAAAGAATAAAATGAATAAATGCTATTAACAATTAAAATGACATTTGAATAAAAAGGTCTTCGCCTGGCGCCGAAAAACAAATAACAACGGTGCCAGGCGGACCTCTCTGGGGAGCGCATTCCATAGATTGGGCGTTACCGCAGAGAAAGCCCTCCTCCGAGTACTCACCCTCCTAATTTCCTTCACGGAGGGTTCCCGGAGAAGGGCCTCTCCTGCTGATCTCAAGGGGCGGGTGGGCATATATGGAGTCGTACTCCATGTAGGGGCACAGCTGATGGATCAGCCAAAGCTGAAAGAAAGCGCTCCTCGCCACCGCTGTCACCTGAGCTTCCAGTGAAAGCTCTGGGTCGAGGAGCACTCCCAAGCTGCGAACCTTGTCCCTAAGAGGGAGTGCAACCTCATTCAGGACTAGGTTGAATTCACCCTCCCCGAAGCCTGATCCGCCAACCAACAGGACATCCGTCTTGTCTGGATTGAGCTTCAGTTTATTGGCCCTCATCCAGCCCATTACCTCGGCCAGGCACCGGTTCAGCACAGCCACTGCCTCACCTGGATTGGTGGAAAACGAGAGGTAGAGCTGGGTATCATCAGCGTGCTGATGATTCCGCAGCCCACACCTCCTGATGACCTCTCCCAGCGGTTTCATGTAGACGTTAAACAGCAAAGGGGACAAAATGGACCCCTGCCGTACTCCATGGCATAGCTGCCATTGTGCAGAGCCATAGTCCCCCAGCAC